CTTAGGGTTGGGGGGGACCAAGGGGTTTGGGGGAACAGGGGTTTGGGAGGGTTGGGTCCAGGGGTGAGGGTTGTGGATGCGCCCAGCTATGGGGTGGAGTGCTCCTCTCCTTCCCCCCCCCAACCTTGGGTGCTGGCGACAGGGTCCCTTGGGGTGGGGTTTGTGGTGAGATGACCACCCCAGCAGGCACGTCTTGGGCCAAATGTTTCCTACGAGGGACAAACCCTCACCCCTTAACCACCGAGGTGAGCCCACTGTGTGCCCGCCCCAGAGCCTAGCACCCTCCCTGGAGGCAGGCAGGCCCTGGTGAGGTGCACATACCCAGTGTGGCGGGGACCCCCATGCACCCCCCTGCCCCACTCTCCCACTTGCAGTGCCAGTTATGTGGGTGCACCCAAAGGGCACTGCGAGGCCATGCTGCCCACCCAGGTTGACACCCCCAAACTAGCATCCCTCTAAGAACCCCCCGGGAACCTGCCCCACAGGGCATGAAGGCACTGTGCCCAGCAACCCAGCACTGCCGAGGGGGAGCAGCGGGCGGGGGAGTGGAAAAATCTTATTTGTCACCTGCTGATGGTGTGCGGAGGCTCCCGCGCCGCGGCTAATCTTGGGGAAAAATAAGGATGCTGGCGGGGTGGCCTGCGGGATGGGCAGGGCGGAGCGGGGCTTATGAGGTGGGTGCTGTCCCAGGCCCTGCTCGGGGTTAGAGCTGTGGGCCACAGGACAGGCAGGACCCCTGGGTCACACCAGCCTGGTCATGCCTGGGTGTATTGGCACCGGGGCACGGATCCTGCCTGCTGGGGGTGCGTGGGCTGGGCAGCACTTGTAGGCATCCCGGAGCAAGTTCCCTGTGCCCCCTGCCCTGTCTGCAAAGGCACAACCTCTTTTCCTTCTAGCCCAGCTTCAGGAGCAGCCACTTGCCTCTCAGCACCAGCTCCGCAGGTTGGCACTGCCCACACATCCTCTCGGGGCACTTGGCAGAGATTTCTGGGGGGAGACGGCACTTGGAAGTGGGTGCAGGCACTGCCTGACCCTCCCCATATCTACACACAGGTGCCCGTCTGGTGCCTGCTGTACCCTGGCTTCTCGAGATGCCAACTCCTGCGGGACACTGCAGCGCTCTGCGGCCGGCTCAGATTTATCCATTATTTTATATCTACACGCCTTTAATTTTTACAGCCCTGTTGGAGCAATACCCAGGGCTGTTAATAATGCCAGCCCCCC